TAAATTACTCATAATATTATTTGAAGTGATAAAATTTTAATATATCAAAACTAAATTTTAAAATTAATATTATGATATTAAATTTATATCATCATAAAATATATTTTTTCATAATTTGTAGTCCACTCGATCGAATATATCCGAACCGGACTAGACCCGAAACCGAAATATATCCGACTCAAATTGTATCCGAATCAAAATCTATCCGAACCGATTCATAACCGAACCGTATCTGAACCGACTCGAAACCGAACCGAACCGAAAAATGTATAGAACCGAAATCAAATCCGAACCGAAATTTAACCGATCCGAACCGAACCGAACCGATTATAACATATAACCGAAAGATATCCGAACCGAAAAAGTTCAATCCGGAACTGATCCGGTTGATCCGATTGCCACCTCTATGCACACAGGAAGAAGAAGTTACCAGATACGATGGAAATTTGCATTTCTATGATATGATTGTGTGAATGACTGAATGTTTGGGATCACTAGCTGAAATCTAGATTTTGAACTTTTTGGTAGCTGTTGGCTTTTGAGAAGCTAGTTTTTTAAACATTTTGGTAGTTAGCTTTTGAAAAGCTGAAACATTTGTTACTGAAATTATTATAGCTAGTAGTTGTTTCATAAAAGCTGTTTTCTAATTAGCTCTATTTGGAAAAACAACAAAGACAACCCATATAATTCCCACTCCGTCGGGGTTTGGGACCCCTATAAAAACAAACACAAACAGAGATGCTTCTGTTAGACCCTACTGCCCAAAACTTCATAGAAAGTACGAAGCATGGGAAGCTTAATGTGTCATTTTGATTGTCAATTATGTTCCCAAAACTCACTGTCAATAATGATTCTTTTAGATCCATTAGCAAAACTAGCTAGTATAGCATGACAAATATGGAATTATGGATATTGTCAAATATCTGTAATGATAAGTGTAAATAAAATCATGACTATGATCTGAAACACTGAAGTTATGTCACAACAAATCCGGCTATAAATATTTGAATATCAGCATGCAACCAATCTGAAACACTTCCAGATACGGAGGACAAGATAAGGGAGACGAAATTTCATTTCTGCATATTAATAATAACTAACCACTGTGTCAAAAAAGATTTGGAGCATACCACTTCCAACATTCCCGAACAGATATAATCCCTTTGGTGCTGGAGGAGCACTTGGACAGCGACCAACTACCGAATCCAACTTCTTCTCACGGTTTAGATATGAAACCCATTTTCCCACCCCCGTTTCCACATTTGCTGGTTTTTTCCTGATTCAGGAAAACGATAGATCAGTGTGCATAATAAAGAAAATCTGGCTGGTAGGGAAACATCAAATGTAAAGTGGTGCAATAGAAAGGTGTCATCAGAAAATATTACATACTATAATGTTATCTTTAAACTTCAACTGTTTTCAATTTATAGAGTTAGCTTGCACATTAATCCATTCAGAATGTCATCTCATATTTCATATACTCTGCTGTAGTTGAAGTGCAATTCTTCAAAGTTTGAAGTTCAAATAAAAGTTCAATGCTTCAATAAAAATTTCTAGTTTAAATATCCATCTGATGCAGAACTTTAACTGAAGAATTAGGAAAAGCTTCTTAGTATACATATGAAAAAATATATGGCAAAGAAAGATACGCTTGCAAGTCCCATAATATTACCCTGTAAGAAAATATCAGGAAAATAGAACAAATGAAAATATTCCTAGACAATGTTTATAGAGTAGGATGCTAATCAGATCCAAAAGCAATCATGTCAGAGAAGGCAATTAAAGGTAATTACGTAGTATATCCATTAAATTGTTGAAATTTTTGTTTTCTACTCACCATAATATAAATTTTTGATTTTTGTCCTCACCTATATATCCATTTTTTAAGAACACCTTGATGGTTGTTGGTAGGTATAGGCATATCTTGCTGTTTAGCTTCTTCCATCAGAAGCCTGCGCCGTTCATTTTCCCTTTCCTCCTCCCATTTTGCAAGTTTAAACTAAAAAGATCCATGTTGGAACATAAGCATTAAATGGATTGATCTTTTTTTGTCATTTAAAGAAAATCATATATTTGATGGAAACCCACATGGTATTCCTCCATGTCCTTCTCATACTGCTTCAATCTTCCAAGTAAATTTTCTAGTTCAAAAGCAACCTTTTCTTGGTAAGGATCATGTTGCAGCTTTCCTTGATCAACAAGGCTCTTATAATATGCAAGCACTCCTGAGGTTAAATATGCAATATTGAGATCTCTTCACGGGGGTATTTCATCTAATATACACAAACAGTAACAACAACAGGTTTATCCAGCCATCCTATATTCATCTTTCTCCCTTTTAGTATATAAAATTGGATGAAAAAAATCTAATCTGAATGGATTTGAGTCATTTGACATTGCAAGATCATTCATCCTATCAATAGTGAAGTGAAGATTTATGGTTCTAACCATGTTAGTTCATCACCTGAAAATTTAAACCTCAATCTTTTAATACATTCGGAAGGAATTGAAGTGAGCTTCATGAGCAAGCGGAAGATGTTTTTCAAATATAATGATAAATACTGTATATGACAAGATGCAAAATAGCACACATTTCAAATAGGTATACTGTTTATCAAATTTGATTTGTCCAGTGACAACAACAACCATATTGAGTCTCACCACGGTAGGGTCTAGGGAGGGTGTGTGTACGCAGACCTTACCCCTGCTCAAAAGTAGAGAGGCTGCTTCCAAGAATAATGTATTAATCTTTTGCTGTTGGCTTACTTGGCTATGGTATATATTCCATCAGCCCCTAATTAAAATTGACGCTTTGACTTCATGGAGTTTAAGAACAAGTGTTGAAATGTGAAAAATATGTTATTGTTATTTGTTTAGAAGAGAGATAGTTGTTGTGAACCACATATTCTTTTCCTTGAAAGGAAATGTTAGAAGTGTAAAGTTTAGGTTTGGGATGGATGGAAGGAAGTAAGTTTATGTTATGTATTGCTTGCAGTATTTTGGAGCTGCAAATTCACAATCTTCACAATAGCTAAGCTGACATGAATCAAACACTACTCTGAAACCGATGTAGATGATAAATGAAAGAATGCCTCGAGATCATGGGAAGCAGATTATAAAAAAGAATGCAATGTGAAAAGACGACCTCAGAATCAGTTTGACCCTGGAACCAGTTTGGCACTCTGCTAGGGGAACCGCTGAGCTGTAAATAACCCCGATGTTTAGCTTATGGTAGGCTGCTAGCTCTTTGGTCGGGGGCAAGGAGCAAGATGGTTTCTTCAAAATATATTTAGAGGGTGTTAAATATGAAGAAATCAACATTTGGCATATATACAAGCTAATCATAAGGTCCTTGGAGGGTGAGGCTGGCGCAACGGGGGTAGTCTAGAGAACAGTGACCTAGATTATGGCCTTCAACACACTCCTACTGTGTGGGAGCTTTGGCACTCGGTAAATCCCTTTATCCAAGTCAACTAGAGAAAATAACGATCATTACTCAATGCAGTGCAACTGGTGTGAGTGTAATATGAAAATACTTCAAAATTTTAGACAATGTGGATGTGAATCCTTCAGAAAGAAAAACTACTTTGTGATGATCATAAAATAGAGATCTTATACATGAGCGCTGTATAAAGAAGCTAGTTGAGATCTACCCCTCATTCAAATAGATACCCTTACGACTGAGCATCGCTATAAATTTGATATATAAGTGCTATAAAAAGGCCAGTAAATTTCAAACATCCCTCTCTCTCCTAAAATAGAGTCATAATTATTCTATATTGGATCCATGGGATGATTATAAGTCTTTTCTGGTTGAAGATATATGCAAATTTGTGATCAAATTTTCCCAATGAACACTTGAAGATTCAGTTGGAGAATTTTGAAATTGATGCTAATCAAATTTCAAAGGCAACAACTCAAAAACCATTATTTTATCCTCATGTTGACTGGCGTATTCGTCTTCTTACTAACTCTTCCACTTTCAACTGCAACAGCAGAAAGGACATTTTCATGCTAAACCTGCTACCCACAAAATCAGTTATTCTCCCCACCCTAACCATTGTCTATCCTGAATTGGCGCCAAAAAAAGGAGGGAGAGAAAAACAATCAAAAGTAGTAATTCTTTCCTATCATAACTAAATCTAATTCAATTCCGCATAACTAACGCTTAAAAACATTTCTAGAATGTGTACGGGCACGCAATTCAACTGTGAAAATTGAAAAAACATCGCCACGAAATTGCTCCTCAGGAAGCCAATCTATGACGACGCGATCATCATCAATACAAACATCAACACAGAGATGAACAATTCAGTGAAAATATGCGGGATCGAGGACGGACCAGGGTGCGGGCGATCGCAGTAGAAGCGCAGAGCACTGCAGCTGAAATCAGAGGTTCGACGAACGAGCCCCGGCGACATCGAAATAAAAAACCTTCTCATCGGCGGAGCTTTTTGTTCTTCCGATTCCGATTTGTCGATTCAGTGGAGGATTTTGGTTTGATCTCGGAGAAGAAAGGTGTAGAACGGGCATGGCTTCTGCTTGAATCTGAGATTTTGTGACTGAGATTGAAAACAGCGCGGCAGAATAAATGGTTGACGTGGCAGCTGTGGAGACCAGTCCTTCGTTTTCTTTTTTCCCTTTTACTCCCTCCATTTCTTAAAAAACTTTCTTTCACTTTTTTATTTTCTACAAAATATTTTTACCTTTTATTAGAAAACCACATTTATATTTTTACTCCTACTTTTTTTACTTTACCTATATCTTACTTTTACATTTCACATAAGACAAAATTAAAAAAATCAATCACAAATATACACTCCTTATTTCTCAAAGTCAAAATATGAATCATTTTATAAAACAGGAGCACTTAAAAATAGGAGTCTCATCTTTATATTATACGGAATATAAAAGAAATAATTGACCTTGAAGGAAAAAGATTTGAATAAATATTTGCAATAGCTATGGTATGAACTAATTAAGAAATATGCCACATGCACCCCCCTCAATTTATGCACTAAAATAATCACAAGTTGTGTTGCGCATCTCATAAAGATGGCCGGTGATTAATAACGTTGAATTTTCATTAGAATTTTTTGATGTCAACGCCTTAGTTTTTTTTTTAATGATATTGCATTCGTACATCTATTAGCAAGATTCGGTTTAAACCTACTCAAGTATAATTTCAAGCTACTCACACAAACGATTAGGCTCCGTAGACTAAAAGATACTCCGTACCCATTAGTGTAACGGGAAGCATTATATACGTTTTACTCTTTTACTTTAGCTAAGTTTTGTCCCACAGAATTTTCATGGTAACATTTTTTAGGATGCAACAACTTAACTGATCCTACATATCATGATTAGATGGTATAGGAAAAGAAACATCCTTACTTCTTAGTGTAATGGAACTCAAATTATTGTTGGTTCTAAACTTGGCATTGGATGCCAACTCCAAAATCATGCTCTAATCAGTGCAGAACTGCAGATAGTGTAGTGTCTTGAATCTTTAATGACCTATGCCATACTATGATAATGAAAATCATTCTACCTTCTGAACCATAAAAAAAAGTGTTGAAAATGAACAATGGTAAGATTTGTATAAGAGGAGTTTAGAAAAATGTCGCAACAAAAAGAAGCCGCATACCGACCAAGAGAAACCCAACAATGCCATTCGATATAGTGCATAAGCATTCATAGTTTTGGTAGAAAATTTGCAAACCCTCTCTTCCTACCATTGTCCATGCAAGTAAAACACACATTTCTTTTATTTCCCTAACTACCCCTAGCATATTGATAAAAGAAAAGAAAGAAATTTTCAAGCTGTATGTATATATAGCCGAACCGGAACAAAAACTAAAAGGGAAAAAATCATAAGAAACTGGAAGGAAGAAGAATACAAACAATCCAGAGTGGGACTGGGCTACATTGATATCTTCTTCCCTAGCTTGGGAGCAGCTGCTAACTGTCCCTCCGTTTCTCGTTCTTCATTAGTTGAACAAACTCTCCAAACACTGTCATCCAAAACCAATTTTTAATGAGAACTTAAGGAGTGGTATGTGCCTGCAAATTTATGGTCTTGAAAGATGGGGGTTATGTTTCTTGTTCTATGCTGACTATAGACCCAACCAGGAACCACCCAATACAAATAATTCATTTGTTAGGGGAAGAAGATAGTGTGTACCATTATCTGAATCGTGAGGGCCGGGTGATGCCTCGGGATGGTATTGAAGTGCCATCAACTTTTTCTGGGGAAAGGCAAGACCCGCACAGCTTCCATCGTTCAAATTCACATGAGTAACCTCCACGCCTTCAGGAAGTGACTCCGTATCAACAGCATAATTGTGATTCTGTTTTTAATTTTCATGCAAGGACAATAAGAAAATATCGTAGTGCAATTTATTAAGTACTCTTAAGATGGAATCCTACCCTGGCACAATATACAAAGACTAAGAAAAACATACTCTGGACCTGGGTAGTTAAAAAGATTGTAGCAAAATAACTGGAATAACTTGTTTTCAATGAAGAATTGCTTTTTAGAGAGAGAAAAGTGCTTTTAATTGGAAAAAAAGAAGTGATTGGCAGAAAAATGTAAAAATATAGGAGTACTATATGTGCTTTCAAGAGGAAAAAACACTTGTAATGCTTATTTAAGAAAAGAACTGGTTAATTTTATTTAAAAAAAACTTCAGGTGCTTAAATGAGAAAGCATTTGGGATAAAATATTTAGAACATTCATACCGTAAACTATCCCATTATCCCAAAGAGGTTCTTAATTAATATACCTGAGCACTAATCTCAACTGTGCCATTCCGAAGGTTACGGACGGGATGATTTCCACCATGGTGACCAAATTTCATTTTGAAGGTTTTACCACCCAAGGCTTGACCAAGCAACTGATGGCCCATACAAATGCCAAACACAGGAACCTTCCCAATGATGTCCTTCACAATTTCAACAGCATAAGGAACTGCAGATGGGTCCCCCGGGCCATTGCTGAATAGGACCCCATCTGGTTTCATCTTAAGTGTTTCAGATGCAGGCCATGTTGAAGGAACAACCATGATTTTACAGCCATAGGAAGCTAACCTCCTGAGTATATTTTGCTTGATGCCAAAATCATATGCAACCACCTTCATTGATTAAACAAATTAGTAAGATGTTTACTACTAACAGCCTGGAAAATGTTAGAAATACAACCTAATACACTGTACTGACATTGAGAGTTTCTTTGTTCCTTCCATTAATATTAAAATCCCATGACGAGGGGGTTTTATCAACCCATTCATAGGGGGCATCACAGGAGACGCCACTAATCAAATCCACTCCTGCATTAATTGTAAGAAACGGTCAAACGGGTAATTGCTACACCCACAAAGGTAATATTTGAAAAGCCATAATGCAATGTAAGACAGAGTGACAGACCACTGCTTGTAATTTGAAAAGTTTGAAAGCCAGACCACTGCTTGAACATTTAAGACATTAACATATATATCCAGCATCTAATGGTGGGCTAAAGTAAATTACTCTGGTTGTGTTAATACCATAGTTGTTAAGGCGACTAGGCGAGTCTAGGCGCTCGGGTACCTTCTAATCGCCTAAGCGATTAGGCGTCCGCCTAGGCGTCCTCTAGGCGAGTGGCTATGACAACTTTAATATTTTATAGGTATTAATATAAAAGCATATAATATGAAATAAGTAATTAAAGAGAACATATGAACCCCAAAAAATAAAGAGTATATATTCTAAATTATATGAATGAATGTTGTTTTTCAAAAAAATAAAATTTAAAAATATATTCAAAAAAATAAGTAAATATTTTGATCTTTCTAAACTTTTTAAAAGTGAAATAATATTTGGGCCCAATGCTCTTTTAATAAACAACTATATTAATAAGTGTAAAGCCCCACTTCTCTTTTAATAAACTCAGCCCAAATTAGTTAACCTAAAATAACTAATTGAAGAGTCAGAGAGTCGGAGGGTTTAGAGGGGCCGCTGGTTATCTTGGCAATCGCGACATTGAATCAGCGTGGCCATGTAAGGTAAGCTCGATCTTCCTCAGTCTCTCTCTCTCT